CGCCAATCCGGCGGTGGAGGAGGCTGGGTCCCAGCAGCGCCGGTCACGCAGCGGAGGATCCTAGGGCCCAGCAGCGCTGGTCCAGTGTGTCCGGTGGAGGAGGTCGAGAAGGCCAGGGCCAACCAGGGGCAAGTAAGAGGAGCTGCATGTGCAGGGAAAGGGACCCCGACTAGCCCACCTGAGACCCTGCAGAGCCCACCATAGAGAGTCTCAGATGGGCTGTGCAGGATCTATGGTGGGCTCTGTAGGGTCACTTTCAGGTGAGCTGTGTGGGGTCTTAGGTGGGCTCTGCAGGATCTCAGAGTTCAGTGCGTTACTAAGTCCAGAGGGTTACTAAGTCCAGAGTCCAGTGGGTTACTAAGCCCTGAGTCCAGTGGATTACTCAGTCCAGAGTCCAGTGGGTTACTCAGTCCAGAGTCCAGTGGGTTACTCAGTCCAGAGTCCAGTGCGTTACTCAGTCCAGAGTCCAGTGGGTTACTCAGTCCAGAGTCCAGTGCGTTACTCAGTCCAGAGTCCAGTGCGTTACTCAGTCCAGAGTCCAGTGCGTTACTCAGTCCAGAGTCCAGTGTGTTGCAAGTCCTGAGTCCAGTATGTTGCAAAGTCCTGCATTGCTGTATAATGTATTGCTGGTATTTGTAGTCCCCCAACAGCTAGTGCCATTCTGCATTAGAGTGTAAATTTCCCCTGTACAGAAACTAATGTGACTGGCTTAGTGTTTGCTGTACAGCACTGTACAGCAAATATATATTATATATGTATAATAATAGTGTGAGACTGTGGGGGGACATTAGAGTTGGGGTGCCCAAGATAAAATCTTGCAACAGGGCTTTTGTTCTTTAGGTCCGCTATTGTGAAGAACAGAAACAAACTGGTGGTGAACGTAGAGCTGGAGGTGAAGAAGCTGCAGGAACTGGTCAGAAAGCTGGAGAAGCAGAACGAGCAGCTCCAGAACTGAGCCAGCGCTGTCAGCAACTGTACTGCCAGCCCACACATGCTGCTACCGCCTCCCCCTCCTGCAGGGCATCAGCTGGGCATATGTCTGTCCCAGCCGCCGCACTTTGCCTGCCCAATCTGCTCTGTGTGAGCCTTGTTTACTTCAACAGCAAGCAGCCACCAGCCTATCGCGGGGCCACTAGCTGCACATGTAGGGGCCACCACCACCCTGGACAAAGTGGACATCCTGGACCTGAAGCGAGTAAAGTTTTTTGTTTATTTTATTTGACCTTTTCTATATCAAGTCCTTCTTTTCCTCTTCTCTCTTTTTTTTTTTCTGGCTGTGGTGCTAGAAAGTTTGTATCCTGGACCTGAAGGATGGCTATGGCAGTAGAGATGAGGAGTGCTGTGACATGCTAAGCTGAGGCTCTGAGTATTTGTGAACTGCAGTTTATTTACACCAGGATAGACTATCAGATCTGAGGCAGAGTCCTAGATATAGGCATGGCAAATTCCATGTCCTCCTAAATGTGTATCTAGTTAAATGTTTAAATGTTTATCTAGAAAATATTATAACTCTTGTAAAAAAATATATTATAATTCCCAGAAGGCTTCAGTCACCATATAAATGTACAAGGTCGCAGTACAAATGTATTTATATATTTTATACCAACCCCTGAACTCCTGGAAAAATCTTTATCTACTGCAGAGGGTGTGTTATTACACCAGTTGACAGACACTGGGTTTGATTTGCTAAAGGAGCAGAAAATATTGTCTTAGCATTTGTAAATAAGGTCAAGCTATGTTCACTTTTAATAACCAGTCCTGTGCAGGGGAGTTTTAAAAATGGGATATTTGCTTGTACACATTTGGATGACTGAAGTAAACATAGCTTCAGCTTATTCAATGAGACAAGTGAACATGCTCTGTGAAAACTGAACATACGTTTTCCAAGATAAACATTTATTTTGCTCAGTAAACAGTCTGTTTAGTAAATCAGCCACATTGCACCGGTCACACATTCCAACGCAGTCACAAACTTTGATAAGACACCCACTCTGCCACTTGCAAATGTGTCCTCTGAGTAGTATCTAGTAGTGTGGGAGGAGCAGGGCACTGTAGCTCTGTCTCTCTCCAAAGCACAGGGATCAGAGCCTATCATGAATGCCTAGACCAGCCGGCCCGCCCATCTGCATCATTAGTTGCTAGGCAGACTGGGGCTGATTAAAAAAAAGGTCCCGATCTTCTGATCCCTGCTGCCTGTCTGCAAGGGGATCAGAGTCTGTTATTGAGCCTGTGATCCCCGTGCTCTCCCCCCTCATCCTCTTGGTTTACCTAATCTCTCCCCCCTGCTGTTACTTGCAGACAGGCAGCAGATCGGGAGATCAGGACTTTTGTCTGCTCTGCCTAGCAACTAATGACGTGATGGGCGGGCCGGTGTATGTAATTATGACAGCTCGCCCATCAGCATCATCAGTTGCTAGGCAGAGCAGACAAATGTCCCCTTTGCTGATCTCTGCTATCTGTCTTATCTCTGGAGAGATAAGGGAAACCAGGAGGGTGAGGGGGAGAAGAGACGGGACACTGACATCCCGCATCTCCAGGTAGGGAGCAAGCAGTGCATGCTCAAGTGGCGGCTGCTTTGGGCCCCACAACAATGACTGGGCCCAGGGCAACGGCCCCTTTTTTTTCCAATCAAAATTTTAATTTTTATTGTTTTTTGCACAAAGATATACAAATACAACGAAATATAACCGTCGTGCAGCTCTAAACTGGCTGCTTGTAACATAAAAAAAAAAAAAAAACACCAACTGCGTGTAAGAAAAGAAAAAAAAGGGAAAAGCTGTGAGTGTCCATCTCCGATCGATGCGCTGATGTTAGACCGCACACCCCTCTATGCCGACCGGGGGGCAATATTATAGCCATCCGCTGGTATGGGATGGGTCACTTCTTCTTCTCTTCCTTCTCGCTGCTTCCGTTGTCGCCGCGGGCGCATTCCAGACCCTCCGCCCATTCAATCGGGTCTGTTCCTTCCATGGCTTCTGGTACCCGCCTCAGGTCCGCATACCATTCAGGGATCGGGACCTCCGGTATTCCTATGCGACTGCAGAAGTCCGGCACATCCTCAGGCAGGCGTATCATGGCCGGCTTCCCCCTATGTGTCGCCACTAGGCATAACGGGAATCGCCAGCGATAGATGATGCCCTTGTCACGTAAACAGGCTAGAAGGGGGCGCAGGGCCCTGCGTTGCTGCAGCGTAATCACCGATAAATCCTGGAACAGCATTATTGTACACCCCTCAATCACAATCGCTTCCCTGGTTCTGGCCTTCTGAAGAATCTCCTCTTTCAGAGGGAAGCTGAGCAAGCAGCATATGACATCCCTGGGTAGATCATCAGCCGCGGCTCTAGGTCTCAGGGCCCTATGTGCTCTAACAAGCTCTATGGGGGAATCAGCCGGGCGCTCCAGTAAGTCATTAAAAATGTGTCTCAGGGTATCTGGGATGGCGTTAGGCAGGATCGTCTCAGGGATCCCTCTGAGTCGGATGTTGGCCCTGCGTCCCCTGTTGTCGAGATCCTCGAGATGCCTCCGCATGTCGATTAGATTACGGGCTGTGGCATCGCACTGACCTTGGAGCTGGTGAATCGCCATATCGCTCCCGCGGCCTGCTGATTCAACCGCCGTCATGCATTGTCCTACATCTTGTCTTAGCTCCGTGACAGCATCGCTTAGGGCCGCCTTGATGTCCGAAGCCATCGAGGAGAGCTCCGCTTTAGTCGGGAGGTTCTGAAGGTAAGAGGGCACCTGAGAGGCGGGTGTAGGCTCCTCGGTCTTTCGCGGTGTCTTAACCTTTTCCGGCCTGGTCTGGGTGAGCGCCATATTAGATGAACCCGATACCCGTGTCTGCTTTCTGGGGCCTGAAAATGTCCGGAACTTGCTTGCCTGTTCGAGATTGCGAGGGAGTCCGGACCCTGGATTGGTAGTCCAGCTGTCCGATCTTCATATTAGTCCAAAAAGGGGCTAAAGTAGCTTTGTGTGGGTCCCTGTTGGCCGGAGCTCTCAACTCAAGCTGCCATCCGCCTCGTGGTGCAGACCACGCCCCCCAACTGCCCCTTTTGCCCTGCGTTGAAGACGGGCCTGGTACTGACTATCAAACCCATCTTTTCCATTTGTATAAACTGAAGACAAAAATATATTTAATACATCTGCCTTCTCCTTATCACTTGTGACCAGCTCCCCATTTTCACCTGTAATGGGGCCTATGTGTATTGTACTGACCTTTTTTACTACTAGTATCTATTTGAACATTTTTTTTTTTATTTGTGTTAGTGACTATAGCAATGTGTTTTTCATATTAAATTAAAGCTGCCCGGACTGCTGCTTTGTGTCTCTTTTTGCATTCATTGTAGCTTTAAAATGATGAGGTTGCCCCTTCCCATTTGTATTTTTTCAAAGTCAACTTTTTCTCATTAATTTTCCTTTTTACACTATAAATGAGCTTAATAGTTTTTGATTTTGTTCTTTCTTATTTGTTTCTTAAAGCAATTTTCCTTGCACATGTCTGGGTATTTAAAGTGAGCATAGCTTCACCTTCTAAACTAAGTTCGGTAAACATTCACTTTGTAAAGTAAACATTTACTTTGCTAAGTGTACATTCTCTACTCCCTTGGTTAGTCAGGTTCTTTGAAACACTGACATACAACAAGTATTATGCAAATGAGGTCCGAGGGCATTTGTAAACTGCTGATTGGCATGCTCCCCTTACCCAGAAAGTGTCGCAGAAAGTTTTGGAAATCAGTAGATTTTCATGAAAGCCAAGCAAATTGCATTTTTAGATGGAGAGGCTTACAGTGCACCATATATTTGTATTATTATTATTATTATTTTATCATCAGTATCGGTTGTTTCATGTAGGTTATTATTGAATCAACATCTTGTGTGTGCCATCTAGTGGACACTTAGTATCCTTGCAGCCATCTCTCCTAATACCTTCTAGTTGCCATTAGAAATGCAAACAAACAGTGATGTCCTATGTGTGTGTAGAAAGTGTGTAAGTGACAACAGAAATGCTGGCAGCTAAAAAGAAACTAAAGAAGAAAACAATTAAAAAATCATCCTCTTCTGAAGTAACCGAAGTAGCAAAGCCACTGTTCGAATTCACACAGCCTCCCAGGCCAGTCCCAGGAGAAAAGGTATGCATAACATATCCAATTATGATTCATTGCTGTTTATGGTAGATTTAGAAAGAAAACAGAAAAACTGTGACATTTGTTATAGGTCTTTAATCTTTCTAGACAACTTTAAAAACTTAGTTAAAGCTGGTAAAGTCCCATACAGAATTGTTCATTCAGAAATGATGAGAAAAGATTGCATTCAATGTATCCCAGTTAGTATGTATAACTTTTACATAGGACAATGGTATAGATAAAAGTAGGTAAATAAAAATAAAAATATATTGATATGATAATAATTCAAATAATAATACATTTTATTTGTGAATTAAATTCTTCCTGGCATAATTACAAAAGCGTGAACTTTTAATTAAAAATTAAAATAAAGAGTCAGGCAAATGACTGCTGGGTGCTTTTATTCAGGGACTTTATATGTGTAAAATTGTCATCATTCTTTCTGTTCCAGTTTGTCACAAGAGCATTAAATACAGCGGTGCAATAACCCACTGAAGCTCCAATGCAAACTTCCACAAAAATATTTATTGGGTTTTTAAAATGTTTTTTTTATTTCAGCCCTAAAACTGAAACAAAATGTAAAAAATGTTATGTATAAAGGGGTTCCTATAGCACTAGTTACAAAAAGAAGGGCCTCGATCCTCTCTACCCTCCCTATATCTTACACGTACCCTCCCTATATCTCTAGCACAAATCCCTCCCTGCAGTCCAGGGGTGGGCAACTCTGGCCCTCCAGCTGTGCTTTAACTACAAATCCCAACATACCTCTGAGAGTCATACCTGTAACTGTCAGTCTTGCAATGCCTCATGGGACTTGTACTTCCATAATAGCTGGAGGGCCAGAGTTGCCCTCAGACTAAAATCATACTAACACCCTGAATATCCCTAACACTAATCCTCCCTGTACCCTCAACCCTTACACAAAGCATCACGCTAACCTTCTCTAAAACGCTAACACTAAACCCTTCCTGTAACCCAGTGGCGGACCTAAGGAACAAAGGGCCCTGGTGCAAGATTTTTTTTGCCCCCCCCCCCCCAAAACCCACAAACACAGCGCTCTCCTCCCGTAGCGCTCGGCCGGCTTTCACGTTCTCTCCTCCCCGCTGGGACACAGAGCAGCACCCAGCAGGGAGGAAAGAAAGCAGGGATGTATCGGCAAAAAAATTTAGCATTTAGCCAAGTGCCATTTTCAGCCGATATCATTTGGCGGGCGATATATCGGTGCAGCCCTTATATTTACAGCAATGCAGAATAGCACAGGCTATAGAGGACTACACATCCCAGCAATACTTTATATAACAATAGCATTTCTGTATAAAGTACTGCTGAGATTTGTAGTCCTCTATAGAGGGTGCCACTCTGCATTGCTTCAACACCTGATCCCTGGAACGATCGACAAGCGCAGACTCCCGCCTCTCACGCTGTCAGAATATGCATACAGAGCGTGTCAGTAACTATATAAACCGGCACGCTGTGTGCAGCTTCTGAGAAGATATGCTACTAGCGTAGCAGGGAAGCCGGCTGCGCATTTTGCAAATCGCTCTCGCTACGCTAATAGCGTATCTTCTCAGAAGCTGCACACAGCGTGCCGGTTTAAATAGTAACCGGCACGCTCTGTATGCATATTCTGACAGCGTGAGAGGCGGGATGCTGCACTTGTCGGTGGATCGGATCAGGTGAGTATTAAAAAGAAAAGTTTTGGGGGCGTGGCCAGGCGCATGGAGCGGTAAGACGTGCTTTAGCTCGTCTCCCGCTCACAGGGCACTGAACACAGGCAGACAGCAGCCATCCGCTCTCCCCTTTGCCGACCATGAGTGACCGGAGGAAGAAGGGGAAGAAGCAGCATAAAACGGGCCCCACGCCGAGGGAGTTGGCCCGTTTTTTCAGCACAGCGGCACCCGCGGCCTCCAAGGCTGCCTCCTCACATGCGACCAAGATGGCGCCGCCGGAGCTCTCCTCGGCACACGCCGATTCTCCTGACAGGGAGCAGGTGAGCCAGCCTCAAGGGGATTGCCTGCCCCACAGCCCTGAAGGTCCCCAGCATCGATCCAGGTG